TTTGCAGCTCACTGGGACCACAAATCGATGTACCAGCAGCCTGAGCGCACGATTGTTACTGGGTCAGGTTAATTACGCAATTAACCCTTCACACTGCCACCACCTCCTTTTTGTACAGAGAGAAATCGGCAATATCAGCAATAACACTAGGGTGGTTGAAATAATCGTCTGTATACCACTGTCACCGCAGGCAGGTTATACAGAGGGTTAAACACACACAGTAGCGCTCTTCAGCGGCAGGAATTCATAAGTTGCATTAAAGAGCTTTAGAAACAGTTCAACACTTTCAGAAAGTAAGTTTTATTACTAAAAGGTCAAAAGGGTGCAATAAAAATATTTACAGAAAAAAAGATGTAACCAATATATATAAATATATACAGAGAGCAATAACACAGCAAAGAGATAACAGAAAGAAGTTTAGGTAGATAAGTACTAGCCAAAAAGCCTTGGGTTATGCAGCTTCAAGTCTCATGAGCAAAAAGGATTTCTTTCTCTACTGCTAGTTTCGATGTTAAAAGCAGGAGACTCTTCTCTTCTCTCACCACACTCCAAGCATAACAGCCTTTTTCTAGCAAATCCCAGCAGGGTGTCTCTTTGGAGTAGTAACCAATGGTCTCCTTTTGGGGAGGGGTGTTGGGTGGAGACCTAAGTTACAACCAGAATCTCTTCTAGCTTATATTTTGGCTCATAACATTTCCTAGGTACATTTGCCGGCCTGGTCACTAGTATATTAATACTCAGCCACATCTGCGGAATGGTTAGAGATGAAACATGAAATATGCACTTGAATGGTTCAAGAGATATACTTTTCTGCTTTTCTCTGTATGTCAGCTAAGGGGTGTCACATACCAGGAGAATGGCCTCAATCTGAGCCTTCCGCATATAGGCTCCATGTTTAGGTAGTTATGTCCTACGTGAAGATATCAACTTATATGTAAAAGTGAGTTTTTAAAAGTAAGTCTGTGTTTACGACCCCTTGGAAGGTCTTTTGAAGTTCAGTGAGGGACTCGGTTTATACTTTTACTATGTGCCAGATTGCACAGTTAATAGACAGCTATGCACCCAGCTCATGAGGTTTTATAGCTCGGAGCTTCCTGCTGTGCTTTGGCCGCCTGTGACCCTTCTCATCACTCAGGCCACATGTCACCCCACAGCAGGGAGGGGGATGAGAGATCTACAAGATGGAGGGGGTAGCCTGCTTTGGGAGTTAGAAATTGTATAACATAGAAAATTCTTAACAAAAACGGAGGGCCGCGTGTCCTGTGTGCAGTCTCTGTGTGCACGATTCCTACAAACAGACCTGACCGGAGAGGTGAGGAGGATTCTGGGAGGTCACATGACATCACACAGACCTGACCAGAGAGGTGAGGAGGATTCTGGGATTCTAACATGATATTCCTATTGGTTCCTCCTCAATACAGAGATTTCCTCTTCTGAAGTCAGGTGATCATATGACCATCACAGTGCCTCCATGTGACTCCCTAAACCCTGAGAGACACAACATGCAGAAGATTCTAGAAGTCACCAAGAAGATGATGGAGCTGCTGACAGGAGAGGTGAGCGGTGCCGGGAATTCTGGGACATTCTCCAGTAACAGACAAGGGATGTGTCTGGATGGTGACTGTATCATTGTGTGTGTCAGGTTCCTATAAGGTGTCAGGGTGTCACTGTCTATTTCTCCATGGAGGAGTGGGAGTATTTAGAAGGACACAAGGATCTCTACAAGGACGTCATGATGGACAATCAGCCGCCCCTCACATCACCGGGTAAGAGGAGACTTTATTGTAAAGGAGAGAGCAGTACGGAGGATCCACCTAGATCCCCCATCATCTGATAAACACATAGAAACAATGGATTCAGTCAGTGTGTGTGTTTCCTACAGATGGATCCAGTCATGGGAACCCACCAGAGAGATGTCCCCGTCCTCTGTATTCCCGGGATTCCACACAGGAAGGTCACACCATCCCTCACCATCATCAGGTAGATGATGACAATTATTGGTAGTTGTGATTTATACACAGCATGTTTGTTACAATGAATGTTTTATTATATCTTTCAGAGTGGAATCCTCGGGGATGATAATATTGATGTTAAAGAAGAGTATAAAGAGGAGGATGAGGAGTATGGAGTGATGGAGGAGTTTTCAGAAGGACACAAGGATATGATGGAGCCACCTAATACCAGGAACCCACCAGAGAGATGTCCCCGTCCTCTGTATTCCCGGATTTCCACACAGGAAGGTCACACCATCTCACTCAGTATCACAAGGTTGGTGGGATGGGATGGAGCATCTAGAAAACATGGACTTGTATGGGTCATGTGTGGATTTTTGTACCTTATTTACAGATGATATTTTCTCATTTCCTTGATTTAGAGTGGAGATCCAATCGATATAGAATTTGAGGTGAAAGCAGAAGAAGAAGAGGCGTATGTGAGGGATGATCAGCAGTCTATGGAGGAGGATGGAATAACGGGGACATTTATAGAGGAGGACACTCCTACAGAGATCAGCACAGGTGGGTCATGAACACTAAATCCATTCCTCCACCCATACTGCTCACTGATTGGTCCAGAGTAGGGCGGGGACTGGGTGATATCAGCCTGTAATCCCCTGGTCACTTTCCTGAGCTGTGTTCCCCGTCCTGTATTCCTGGATTTCTCTCGGATAATCTTCCTTCTCTGTGCTGCAGACACAATTTATGTATCTAGACTGGATTTATGGAGGTTCTGGGGTTCAGCTGGCAGCAAAATGTTGATTTTCTATACTAGACCTAGGCACCTGGGGTGTGTGTTTTGGCACCTTCTTCCCCATGTGACCCGGGTCTAGTAAGATCTCTGACAGAACATTTCTCCCAGGGTTCCTTGCTCTGTGGTCTGCTGGCTGTGCCGGGTGGAGGGATATGTCTGTAGTGTCTCAGACCCAAGTCACTGAGTGCAGTCTCAGGAGATGGGAGGCAGCGGTGTGGGATCTCTGCAACTTGTCTACAGTAAACATTTAAAGTGGTTGTAAACCCTCCATATACCCAGTGCAATGACTGGCCTCAGGTGATACACAGAGATAAAACAAATCCTCCTACATACGTTGTACCTGTTTATCTATAGCACTCTTTCTCTATATTTGTTCAAAGTCCAGAATTTATACAGCTTGTCTGAGAAGTCAGAAAAAAGGGGGGCAGAGAGCTGAAGTCACTCTCTTCACAGCTCAGTGAAGTGAGCTCTGAGAGATGATTGATGGGAAGGGACACACTTCCTTCACACAGGAACAGAGCTGAGGCTGTCAATCACAGGCTGTGTGCTGGAACTCCCTCCCCTTGTCATCTTTTTTTTCTCCTGGTGTCAGGAAGACTTGTCAGAAGGGACTCAACTGCTGATCGCAGAGGAAGGAGACAGCAGACAGAAATGACTCTTATTGCTCTGGAGTGAGACAAGTACACACTGTAGAGGGATATGCTTTGTTCATATTCCATGTCTGAGGGTTACAACCCCTGTAAGTGATCTCTGATTACTAAACACCAATTTGATGTGATCCTTACACTATTTATTAGTATCGCCCCCCTTGTCCTGAATAGAGGTACTATGTGGGTTTAGTTTGTGGCTGGGCTGTACTTGGCTCAGGCTGATTGTATAGTTCTTCACTTGGTTTCTCCCTAAGTTTAGGTTGTCTTGTGATGTCTCACTGTGGCCAGTAGATGTCACTGCTATCACTGGACATAGGATGAGATTTCACCAACCAAACTAAAGGGATATTAAACCACAAATGTCCCATATTGCAGCTTACCAATCATTGGGTGTGTCGGCTGCTGCATCCTTTTCTTTGGCTTTTTTCCCTGTTTTCACCTGGTGATCTGGCCAGTAACACACCTTCTGTATTAGAGCGCCCCAACTCTGGAGACAGCAGCATGGTCAGTCTGGGGGGAGGGGAGTGTTAGATGTACTAGCAGATATAAAAACAGTAACTAATTGAAGCCAAACTCCAGTTCACACTTCATAATCAGTTTCATCAAACAGTTTTTTCCTTTTGGGATAAAAGTTTGTCATGAATAAATAAAAGCTGATCATTGTAAGCCCCCTGTCAGTGGTAAATGGTCTTTATAAAACAGCAGATTTACTGGCTAGATCACCAGATAAATATAGAAGAAAAACTAATACTGTATAGTCCTAACTTTTGTATTCCGTATGATAAGTTGTACATTACATCGGCCTTACTTCTTTTCCACCCATTTCCTCCCAGCTGGACATTTTATGTCGGATGATGTGATTGGAGCACAGACTTTTACATGGTGATAATAATGTGATAACATCCTCCAACTTTGGACCCTTAAACAGAAAGTGATAATGAGGGAGGAGTCAATACCCCAATGATGGTGGTCTTCAGGATCAGTCCAGTCTTCATCTTGGTTGTTCTCCCCCCATCCTCACTCTCTGACCTCTGGTGGGGCTCAGCCCCGCTGTTCTTCATGACTAAATCATGGACTAAATAAGGAAGTGCAGTACTTCTTGTGTTGGGAAGATGGTGATGAGTGATAGAGGGGGTGGGGACCCTCGTCCTATAATCCCCTCATCACTGTCCCTCCTATAAAAGACAGTTCTGGTTGTTTCCTCACTCTCTGACTAAGGTCCATGAATAAAGAAATGACCTGGTAGGAGATCAGAGGAGCCATTTCCTAGTTCCCGTGAGGGTGGAATTGTAAGCTCCTCAGAGACCAAGCTGCCTGATGTGGGCGGAGTCCTGGTTTGGGGGGAACAATCAGCTCCTGTCTAGTAATCCTCTTTGTCTTTGTATTTTAGTCCATGGCCGGGAGATGAGGAAAACCTCAGAGGATTGTCTCACTTTGTCTCCAGACTGGAAAGTAGAAGATGAGGACATCACACAGTATAGTCCAGGAGAAAACCCGGCTCCCTCCAATGTCCATCCGGCACCACCCAGTGTAGATGGACCATCGGATTCCTCGTATCCTGAGGAACCTCAGACTGTGCGGGACCGGGCCAGCCTTCCAACAGGGAAGAGGTTCTCCTGTACTGAGTGCGGGAAGGGTTTCCATTCTAAATACAAACTTAATGTGCATGAAAGATCTCACACGGGGGAGAAGCCGTACTCTTGTTTCTGAGTGCGGGAAATGTTTTGTAGAAAAATCAAAAGTTGTCAGACATCTAAGATCTCACACTGGGGAGAGAAGCCATATTTTTGTCCGGAGTGCGGAAAAAGTTTTTCACAGACGTTCAAGTCTGCAGAAACATCAGAGATCTCACACGGGGGAGAAGCCATATTCCTGTGCTGCATGCGGGAAATGTTTTTCACAGAAGTCTAGTCTGCACAAACATCAGAGATCTCACACAGGGGAAAAGCCATACTCCTGTCCTGAGTGCGGGAAATGTTTTTCAGAGAAATACCATCTTTCCAGTCATCAGAGATCTCACACAGGGGAGAAGCCGTATTCCTGTGCTGTGTGCAGGAAATGTTTTTCACAGAAGTCCAATCTGCCCAAACATCAGAGATCTCACACAGGGGAGAAGCCTTTTGCCTGTCCTGAGTGCGGGAAATGTTTTTCAAATAAGTCCACTCTTTACACACATCGAAGATCTCACACGGGGGAGAAGCCTGTTCTGAGTGCGGGAAATGTTTTTTAGTGAAGTCCCATCTTTCCACACATCTGAGATCTCACACGAGGAATAAGACACTTTCCTGTCCTGAGTGAGGGAAATGTTCCTCACTGAAGTCCTGCCTTCCTGTACATCAGGGGTCCCACACAACCCTGGAGGTGTATTAGTGCCTTGAGTGTGGGAAATGTCTTCTAGATGAATGTTGCTGGACATCCAGCTCTCGTGGGGAAGAAGCACACCCTGATATACACCTCAGATATACTCCATGGCTGATCTTCATCATGGAAGAAACCGTTCATAGGTAGATCAGAGGTCCCCAAAGAAATGGATGAAGTGTGGGACCGGGTCCACCATTGATGGCAGGAGTAGATAAAAAATGGAGTCAATGTTCTAGCAGAAGCTCTCACAAACACTTGGAAGTCTGATGGAGGTGTGGAAGTGTGAAGTCCTGCCACTGTGACGATGACACAGGGTCCTCCTGGCTGCTTTTTGAGAATCTCCAACATGTATTTAGTGAGCAGAGAAAACTGTGTTCTAGGTTGTCAATGGATTTAGTAGGTCCGGGTCGGGACCTGGAGCTTGAAGGTTCCAGAGATTCTTGGTGGGGACAAGACCTTCAGTCAATATAACAATCTTCTAGATGATAATGATTATTAAAGATTAAATCTAGTAATAACTAATAATTTTAGAGTATTTCAGAGGTTATTTTCTCTCATCACGTGGCCATAGCAATGGAAGAAGATATTCCCCTGATAAATTATACTCTAATTTATTAATATTTAAAAATTTATGAAATATGAAAAATTTGTAATATGACACCAACAATATCTAAACAGTAATACGGAATCCCTCTATATATATAAACCTCACCCAATACAGTTGTGATCACTCTAAGGTAATTCTTATTACTCTTACACAACAGAGAAAATATACAATGCAAAATTAAATGAACAGTGCTCACCACACCGGAATTCAGGACTATGAAACTTCCCCAATGGGATTCAGCTGGCAATGGTACGCCTTCAGGGATGACCACAGGGGGGAAGTGAGTGATGTATAGTTCAATAGTGTAGGAAAGTGTAGGAAGTTAGTAGAGGTATACAGAGATTTAGGAAATTTAGTAAAGTTTTTAGAAGTTTGAAAACGAGTTAATCAGTAGCTCTTCAGATGGATTTCAGCCTCGTCAGATTTCTTCTGAACACACCACAAAAAAACAAAACTTGTCTCTCTTTGCTGTTTTTTCATGTGAGAGTTCTTCGCCAAGTGAGGTTTTTTTCAATGAGGTTTTTTCTTTTTTAAATCAGGTGCAAGGGTTTTTATACATCTTAAACTATTGTTTAAGAGACCTCCCCACCAGGCTTTTGGATTGTTGGTTGAGAAATGTATGTATTTAAGCTATCTCTCACTGTCACTAAGTGGCAGATCAGGGCTCTAGAACAATTTGAGTATTTGTGATGACTCCACACCTCGGGGTGGAACTCAAGGTGATTTCAGGTATTAATATAGTCTTATCCAGATATATAAGTGATCATAGCTTTATTTGTTCTAAATTTGGAACCATGGAATATAGGTTGTATATTCGGTTATTCATCTCCTGAGAATCAAACTTGGGTGAAAGTTTTGTTTCCTGTAGACATAAAATGTGCTAACTCACAATATATTTTTT